TATATATACAGGGTGGGCCAATAAAGTGAGAACATCTCTTAAAATGTGATTTAATCACATAAAATTTAGTTTAACTATACCTATATACTATAGTGGTGTCGACGCTTGGAAAAAGTCGTTGAGAAGCCAGGAGAACACATTGAACATGATTTCTGATTACCTAAATATTTTGAAGAAAAAAAATTCCATGAAGAATTATAATCAATTAAATTATATTTTGCTACGAGATGTTCTCACTTTTATTGGCCCACCCTGTATATATATATACATATATGTTGTTGCTCAGGCCCAGTTTGACATTTGTCGCCCCCCTTGCATGTCATTAATATTTTTTAAAAAAGGTATATTTTATATAATACAAATCTTTTTTTTTCCTAAGTTTTCTTTGCCCCAGAGAAATATGCTTGTGTCCGAAATGGTCCACCCTGAGAAACGCTGCTCTTAATAAATTAATTGAACAACCATCTTAAACTGTTAAGACTTAGGAAAATTGTATAAATTATAATAAAGTAAGACGAAATAATAACGTACCATTAACTTTCGTAAAGATAATAATTTTTAAAAAATAAAAATTTGCTTTCTTCAACAGTGGCGTTACAATCGCCTCTCTAAAAGATGATGGAACAATTCCAGTTGTCAAGGACTTATTTATGATATAAGTGATGATGGGGACTATTTCATCCAGACATTCATACAACAGCCCTGCTGGAAGAGGGTCGAGTGAGCATGACTTTCTTATATATAGACATTATAGATAATCTAATGCGTTAAAAAGAAAAGGTAAAATAAACAAAATATTATTTTGTTATTTTTAGATTTCTTCATATTAATAGTCAAGCGTTGTAAGAATGTCTCGTTCAATTGACTTGAAAAACTTCTTTTTGCACTTGCTACCCAGGATACCGGCCCTGTCAACATTACTTTGTAAGATATCGCAGTATCCGGAAAAGAATCTGTCAGCGGCACAAGAACATTTCAGTTGATGCAATGGCTCGTGCCACAGACAGACTCGTCGATTTGCTGAAGATAGTACGGGAAAAGGACAGACTGTTCATTTGATTATTAATTATCTTGTACCTCTGAGCACTGTGTTTATTGGATATTTCGAACTATAAATAGGCACACTCTGGCTTTATTTATGATATGTAGCCTAAAAATAGCCAATATATCCGACTTTGACCTGGATTGTATTAAGAAGAAAAAACAACACAACTTCTACAGCCTTTAAACTAACATCGAAATTAAGGGAGCTGTAACAAAAAAGTCACACAATTTAATTTTTAAACAAAATTCTCTTATAATAAACACATATTTTGTATATGGGTTGTGAAGAGGAATCAGAAGCAAAGTATTTATACGAGAACAGATGACCTGTGGTGTTTACAGAGCTGCCATCCGTCTTATGGAAGGCCAACAGCTAATTTTTTTGTTTCGCGCCCACCTCCATTCGAAGTTGATAATTTAAAATTGTTCTACATTACAATTGTGGGCTCCTTAAATATCCTAGGCCCCCTGCCGCCGCAGAGGTTACAGGTTTCACGCGACGGCTCTGTGTGTAGATAACAGGCAACTTGCCACTGTGTATTTAGCAGTGCAATAAAATGTACAATATTTGAAATGGATGTCTCTGTCACCGGTTCACCCGGACGTGGGTGGGCCTCAGTGGGTATTCATAGACACGAGCAGCACACTTAGGCCTACTATCATGGACATGGGTGGGCCTCGGTGGGTATTCATAGACACGAGCAGCACACTTAGGCCTACTATCATGGACATGGGTGGGCCTCGGTGGGTATTCATAGACACGAGCACAATAAAACCTTTGCACCATTTCCGCTACGCCAACTGGTTCTCATATATTCCAACATGAACATAAATTAAATGCACTTGGCCGGTTCGCGGTACAAAAAACGATGTGTTTTTTTTACTCCAGGGTATTTCACTCCAAATGTGTCCTATCATAGGACACAAAAAAATAATTAAACTATCTAATCACAATTTTTAACACTGTTTTTTTACGGACTAGAGTGGAACAGCATTTGACAAAAAGTGTGGAAATCAATTATATGGAGTTTCATAGTGACATACTTCAGATCCTTTTTTTTTGATTGCATTGAACTTCATGACTTTCATGACTTGGATCGTGCACATGGAGGCATTATTGAAATACAAATCCTTGTAGACACTAACAGCATTCAGTGATGTACATGTCCTTGTAGATAGTGACATCAGTCTGTGAATTAGCTTAAACTTAAATGAACTATTTATTGGAACTAGAAAAAAATACTTCTGCAATATATGGGGGCTCACATCCTTTTTCTGTAAATCACTTAAGCATTGATTTAGCATGAGATGTAGTTTTAACTTAATCCCAAACAGTTTAAGAATGTAGCATGAGATGTAGTTTTAACTTAATACCAAACAGTTTAAGAACTAGGCTAACAATAAACACAAACAAGCAAACCCAATTTAAAAAATTTATTAAAAAGTATTTATTAAAAAATGTGTTATATCTACCAGTTCAATACGATAATGAACAAGACTATGAGAAATTAATAAATATAAGTTAAAATTTATTAAGTGTCCTAGATGGCTAACATTAACATTTTAAAATGTAATACAATAAATAAAATAGATCTATATAAAAAAAAAACTAGAACTAGAACCATAAAAAAAAAAACTGATTAAAAACTTCAAAAAATTCAAATAAAAGAATTTTAAACATTAAATATAAGTTAAAATTTATTAAGTGTCCAAAATGGCTAACATTAAAATTTTAAAATGTAATACAAAAAATAAAATAGATCTATATAAAAAAAAAACTAGAACTAGAACCATAAAAAAAAAAACTGATTAAAAACTTCAAAAAATTCAGATAAAGGATTTTTCAACATCATTTCAGTTTTTTTACCTTACAATAATCTGAGTACAGGGTCTGAATTATATCAAATAATAGACAGGTATAAAGTGGTAAAAAAATATGCAACCCATTAGGTAGAGGAACTTAAAACTTGTATGTATTTCCCACATCTCTCTAATAGTTAAAAACATGATACAGTACTACATTCTTAGAAATTAATTTACAATTAGCAACAGATAGCTTAGAAGCAAAATAATGTTTTGATTCAGTAACTTGTTAAATAGTCTAGCAAGATTTTCCCTTGATGATGCACCAAGGACACGTTGGCTGCTATATGTTCCAGACCTTGTTGAATGGCCCTCTGCGCACTTCTGGCTTCATGAACTTCAAAGAAAGCCTGTTATTTGTATACAAAATATTAGTGCAATAGTTTTCGATAGTATTATAGTTATAATTATAGTATCACATGTCATTCAAATAGTTGTAGTCATTTAGTAATTCCTTATTTCTTTAAATTCTTTTTAAAAAAAAACTCTCTCCCCCCCCCCCCTTCCTTGTAGTTACACTTACTAATTTTGGACTGCCCCCCTCCGCCTCATTTGTTACTTGAGCAATTTTTACTAAAAAACTTCTTTATTTTAACAATTTTTAATGTTTAAAGGGAAGCAGCTTTTACTTTCTTTTTCAATCTGATTAATTGGTCAACTACGTCAACTCTAAATCTTTATTTTTAAATATAAAAGAATTAAATGTCTAGATCTATCAAAGTAAGCACCCAAAAAATTTTTTAACAATTTTCTCAATTTATTTTCAATAATATTCTATGAAAGCCACCAAACACAGAGGCCGAAAAAGATAAAAAAAAATTATCTCAAAATGAAAGGAATTAAAAGTGATGATCACAGTTGAAACAATGGAAACTACATCAGCTCAAGATTTAAGATATCACTTGATCATGAATATAACTATAACAAAAATTCAAACGGATTGGTTAGAACCCTTAGATTAAAAAATATAATTGTTAACAACAATCTAAAAATTCTTATACCTACCAAAAAATGTGTCCTTAAATATTGTCAAGATGTTCCCCCAACCCATGCGCACCATTATCCACAAAACATTAATGGAGTGATCTGTTAAAAGGAAGGAATATTATACTATATACTTACCACTATCTCTTTAACTCTATTAGCACAGCACACACCATCAGTGGATATCTGTAAATGGATATGTGGATGTGTGAAAACAGTTAGGGACACAGAGCAAGGATACAACATTCACAGACTGACATAAAATTAAATACTGTAATACTTTCAGTTTAAAATTCCATGGGACATTTATTTAAAAAACGTAATAATGAAATAAAGGAGCTGAGAGGCTGCCTAGGGTGTCAAATTATTTTTGACAATGTTATAGTTGGCCAAGAAAATTGCACTTCATAAAAAACCCACAGCAATCATCAGCTTATAAGACATGTGAGCGGCAGCCAGTGAAGCTAGCTGTCTAGTTTAAACAAACAAAATTAACACACAACTTGAATGACAAAACATCCTATTCTTACTTTGATAAGTTTACCAAGCATGGTGCCAGATCCATAACGTCTGTTCAACTCTTGCCAGTTGTCTTGTATGAAATTCCAGACTAGTTGTCTACCTTGCAAACTATGTGTTGCACCATGCAAAACACCTATAGTGTCTTGGTTTCTAACTTTGTCCTATTTATAATGAAATAATAATAATCACAGGGATAAATCTGCTATGCACAATACATCCTAGTGAACTATATATGCATATATAACATAAAAAACTGGTTTCTGTCTGTGTAAATGACTAAAATTTGTTAAAGATTTGTAAAAAGTTACATTTTCATGTACACCCTAGACTTTTGTCCGACATAGATAAAAAAAAAGTGCACTTGGAGAAAGGCCATAAAGCAACAAAGTGAAAAAGAATGTTAGATTAAGGCCCCTTTTAGTGATGGCTTTTTGACCATAGGATTTCTACTAAGGGATCATGGCAAGTAAAATCTTCACAACAGTGAATGAGTTTTAAAAAAATAAAATAAATAGTGACTGATCATAATCATTCATTTTGTTGTGCTTTCCTAAATGCCTGATATAGTATTTAAACCATAAATCTTCATTCCCCTTTTTAAAAAAATCAACTTTGTATTTGCACTGTCATTCTTATAAGGCTAATAAATAATTTTCTCAACAGCCACTTTCTTCCTTTTCCCCTAATAATTTAATCAATTTTGACCAACTAAAACTCACAGAGAGTGAAAATGCCAGAACTTCTCTTATCAGATGCTCATCAGAAACCATTCCCAATATTTTTGAGATACGGTTCTTTTCTTCTAAGGAATTTTCAAGGTCATGCATCTGTTAGGGGCAAAGAGGAACGTTTATATGATTCAACATGAAATAAATTGTTTGCCTTTAACTGCAATCATCATATTTATAGATCAAGAATCCTTTATAAGCAATGACATTTTTAAATTGAAAATATATTTAATTATGCCATAATTAATTTAAACCTTCCCTTTAGATTGTATCAAAAAAAAATATTTAGAAAGATACATTAAAGTAAAGTGATAAAATTTCAATTGGCAAATATTTGAGAATGAATTAAATAAAGCTGGTGAGAGTGATAAAAGTGTAAACAGACCAACACGACATACAAATCAGTTAAATACCTTCATGAGAGTGTCAAACACATCTTTGCCCCCATTGGTCAATACTGTTATGTAGACCTAAAAAAAACCACACAGATAACATTTATTCTTATTAAATTATTTTGATTTTCTTTGGGTTTGAGAGACTTACACAGCTCTAAAATTTATGAGGGGAACAAGTCTCAGCAATAAACCAAGTAAGTGAGCTAGTGCAAAATTTCAATTCCTTTCAACTACAAATTGCATGCTTTCAAGGGTTTTAAAATATTTAAACAAATTAACAGGCTGCTTTAAAAGTTTGAAAAATGTATTGTATTTAATTTAATTTATATATTTAAAAAATATGTCAAAAACTATTTATAGGTGGTATTTAATTGCTGCACTCTCACTTAAATTTTAATAAATTATATAAACATGCTATTTCAATTTTTAAAAAATGTGGGTGATTAATAATTGTAAAAAAAATGTATAAGATTTATTGTTGTATAATTAAAATCAGTGAAATTTCCTCATCAACACCAGGAACAGAAACATTACAAATCCCATCTACATGCATAGGAGCCAAAGTGATCAATAAATTGATCGTGGGCCCTTAAGATATAGAAGAAGAAGAAGAAAACCAACAATTATAAGATATATTGTTGTATAATTTAAACCAACAGGTGTTTTAATGTTTGCAGATAGATGACTTTTCCCAGTACAGTGATCTCTAAAACGTCTGAGAGCTTCATCAATAGTTTCTTGATCTTTGGCAAGGCCAAGTTGTATCAGGACTTGCTCTCTCAAAAGCTTAGTGGAGTGGCCTATAAAGACATTTAAAAAATATGACTTTATGGTTAGATGAAACAAAAGTATTTTTAATTCTTTTACTATATAAATGACCTTTACATTTTTTTTATAGATATCAGAAAGCAAGGCCATCATAAAAACATAGTTTATGGTCTTAATTGTATACTCTAGGAAACATTGTTTCTCATTTCTATAGTGCAGCTGTAAGACAATATTTAAAAAAATTAAAAGAACTTACTGTCATTGTCTGAATCGTCCCAGCCCAACCTTTCACCTATCTTCTTGAAAGTCTTGCACATAAAATTTTTGAAACACTGGTCACTTCCCTCACTTATGTGCTGCACAAGGGGAGACAAACCCGACAGACCACTGGCTAACTTGCTGCATACCGCAAAATCTTTTTCAGATCGAAAATGTTCTGTGATTTTGAGTACGTCAACAACGCTAGTGTAGTTAGCCCTGCACTTAAGAGGGAATAAAGAACAGAATTCATTTGTAACTAATCTTTGCATTCAGCTGTTATCACACTATTAGTTTTATAAATATTGTAATAACTGTTCTGTATATCAAAGTTGAGACGGGAAGAAATGATTCTTTACTATGAAATACTTACAATGTTGCATCATTACATGATCTTGTTTGATTTTAATGGACAAAAGAGCCTGGGTACTTCTCATTATTTGGGTTTTGAAAATGTTAAGTGGAAAGAACCCAAAGAAAACTTGTACAGAAATAATTAGGTGAAAGCAAATTCAAAATGATAACTGAGAAAAAAAGTCTTTTGATTTCCTTACCAAAGCAAAGAGATCAATGAGTAAACCTATTCTGTTCTCTGGTGACAGGAGATCTTTCTCTAAGTCTGCTACAAGCCTCTGCAAAGAATCCGGTTCATACTGGACATGGCAAAATGTGACCTGCCCAGGATTGACCTGCCAATGAAATGCTTGGACTTTATCAGCAGTAAAGACTCATTTTTTTCTATTGAAAAGCGTTTAGACCACAGAGGCCAGGTCAAAACGTACAACTTTTGAGAAAATAAGAAAAAACTTAGTTCCCTAAAGATTTCAAGTAGAAAATAAAGGGGACATAATCCTTTCTGCCTCATTTGATATGTACTCAACATTAAAAAAATCATCAGTAACCATAACTCAATTTCCGAAACAAATTTGACTAAGCCTCTTGGAAAAAATAAATATCTTAAGTTTGAATGTAATGAAATAATTATATAAAAAAATTCTTTATATTCTGTCTTTACTATATTAAATCAAGAAGTAGCCCTCTCTTTCCATTAATGAGGTGTCAGATAATTTTTATCCATTTAATAACTTTTTAAAACATTTGAATATTGTCATAAAAAAATAAAAATTTAAAAGTGTTAAAATTAAACCAAGAAAACTTTTTTTAAGCATTTTAAAATCGTTAAAAGCAAAAGAAGCCAATAATGGTTACTTATAGATGAAACAATTTTAATTTAACAGGTAGAAATTCTTCTCTCAGTACTAATCGAATACATACTCTTATCCAGTCATTTGGACTGCAGTTAGAGATTTCAAACTTTACATTGGAATTTTCTAAAAGACCTTTCACCACTGGAACATCAGGACTATTGGTTGATGTTAGAGAGTAGGGGACAATCCAACTATGATTAGAAGCGCCACCTGCTTTAAGAAAGAATGAAACAAAGGCAGCAATAGGATTTGGTTCATAATACAGGTAAATATTTTATTGCACTTAGTTAAATTTTTATTTATTGTATGATTATCAGTAATTATTACATTTCCAAAAAAAAAAAATAAAAAAAAATCAATCATTGATCAATTCTATGTTATGATCTAATAAAGACCAATAGCACTTTCAAAACAATAGTGTCTAACTAAAAGACCAAATATTTAAATTGGAAACTTATCTTTCAAAAAATCTGATGTTGAATAGGGTATATTTTAACAAATAACTAGCAAATATTTGAAAAAAAAAAAGAGTACTTGATGATGGAGCTTGTGATGCCAATTTTTCCTGAGTTAAGATAACCTGACGGATGGTTGAGCTTGGATCAATTATTTCTTTGACCTGAAACAATAAAGAAGGTATATGGCACGTTGTATAGAGGAGAGACCACATTTCTCGTACCCTATGCCAGAAGTAAATTTGGATTTGAAAACAAAATCCTAGAATATGATAATGCTACTTGAAAAATACATGATAATTACCTTGAGTAGAGGAAACCCTGTCTGTTTTGTCCAGGTATCCATGACTGCACCAATATTTTGACCACTGGCCTTGGACATAGCAGCCCACATGTCTTTAGTGTTTGTATTTCTAAACTTGTGTTCATTTAGGTAAAGCTTCATGCCTTGGCGAAAATTCTGGAGATAAGTATTGGATATATCCAGGTTGGGCAAATAAAAGTGACAATGTCTCAGACAACCTGGATCACATGTTTACAATTTGTCTACAAAATAGAATGTGATTTTAGGCCAAGAATAAATGAATAATTAATTTAAAGATATAATCTGTCATTTCACTTCGAGACACAATATTTTTGTCAACAAATCTGTCCAAGTAATTCATTAATGCTTCTCTAAACATTGCAGATAATTTTTTCTCCACTATTCCACAAGAGGTAAGCTTCACTTATCCTCTTGATGTTAAATTACAAGGCAAATGGATTTTATAGTCTATATATTTTGTGTGCACTCCCAATAAATGAGTCTTGCTGTTTTGTTGAGTTTACAGCACTCTAAAGGTAATAATCCATTATTTTGTTGAGTTTACAGCACTCTAAAGGGAATAATCCATTATTTTGTTGAGTTTACAGCACTCTAAAGGGAATAATCCATTATTTTGTTGAGTTTACAGCACTCTAAAGGGAATAATCCATTATTTTGTTGAGTTTACAGCACTCTAAAGGTAATAATCCATTATTTTGTTGAGTTTACAGCACTCTAAAGGTAATAATCCATTATTTTGTTGAGTTTACAGCACTCTAAAGGTAATCATCCATTATTTTGTTGAGTTTACAGCACTCTAAAGGTAATAATCCATTATTTTGTTGAGTTTACAGCACTCTAAAGGTAATAATCCATTATTTTGTTGAGTTTACAGCACTCTAAAGGTAATAATCCATTATTTTGTTGAGTTTACAGCACTCTAAAGGTAATAATCCATTATTTTGTTGAGTTTACAGCACTCTAAAGGTAATAATCCATTATTTTGTTGAGTTTACAGCACTCTAAAGGTAATAATCCATTATTTTGTTGAGTTTACAGCACTCTAAATGTAATAATCCATTATTTTGTTGAGTTTACAGCACTCTAAAGGTAATAATCCATTATTTTGTTGAGTTTACAGCACTCTAAATGTAATAATCCATTATTTTGTTGAGTTTACAGCACTCTAAAGGTAATAATCCATTATTTTGTTGAGTTTACAGCACTCTAAAGGTAATAATCCATTATTTAGTTGAGTTTACAGCACACTAAAGGTAATAATCCATTATTTTGTTGAGTTTACAGCACTCTAAAGGTAATAATCCATTATTTTGTTGAGTTTACAGCACTCTAAAGGTAATAATCCATTATTTTGTTGAGTTTACAGCACTCTAATGGAATAATCCATTATTTTGTTGAGTTTACAACACTCTAAAGGGAATCATCCATTATTTTCTTGCTTGTATGTGGGGAATAAGTTTGAAATTTAGAGTTGCCAAAATTTTAAAATTATTTATTTGGTAGATTAACAAACTTGAGCAGGGATAATGAAGTTCAGAAATTAATGATTTTTATTTATTGACTTAATATAGAGACACACCTCGTTCCCAATGAAAGACTGTAACATCCTGATCAGACAGGCTCCTTTACAGTAAGAGATTTCATCAAATATCTCATCTATCTCACTGGGACTTCCAACTTGAACCTGGCAAAATGAGATTTCTGATGAAAATTGTTGTGAATAGGACATTTTATCATTTTAAAAACTCAAACTTAACAAACTGGTTTGAGAGTTGATGCCCCTGTTTGTTCCCCCCCTGCATCACCACAGCATTCTCTTCCACTTGCCTTATAGTTGAATTTTATATAAGGCATTGAGAAGGAAGAGCTTGGAATTTGTTTTCAATTGTGTAGGATATGTCAGTTGATGTGGAAATCTAATGGATGGCAGTAAAATTTAGATGAAAATAAATCAGTTCATCTGTTCCTCATTAAACATCCACTTCCTGTGCAACTTCAATGATTATGTTTAAAATTTTCACAGTACATTAGTTCTTTTTTTTTTTAGCATTATTTTAATGTAGTGGCTTATGTTTAAAATTTTAATAGTACATTAGTTTTTTTTTTTTTTAGCATTATTTTAATGTAGTGGCATGAACTTACTTAAAATTAAGTTGCCATGGCTATTTAAAAAAAAAAAAATTAAATACCTCAACAGGATGGCTACTGTCAAGGGCATCTAACTCTAAAGCTCTGCTCTGTTCAGCTTTGATAAACTGCTTCCAAATATTGAACTCAGGGTAAAGTGCATCAACACACTGGTATTCAATCCATGTGGCAAAGCCTTCTTTGAGCCAAAGATCTGTCCACCATTCCTGTTACAGTGGAAGCCAGAGATATATCTTTACATTTTTTAATAGTAAAATTCAATGAGCTGAAATATATGAGAAGGTGCATGAAAGTAACTTGACACCAGTGTCTGGGGGTCAGGCATGTCATGAGCAGGTGGGACAAGCATGTCATGGGCAGGTGGGACAGGTGCATCGGGCAGGTGGGGCAGGTGCATCAGGCAGGTCATGGGAAGGTGGGTCAGGCTGGTCATGGGAAGGTGGGTCAGGCTGGTCATGGGAAGGTGGGTCAGGCTGGTCAGGCATGTCATGGGCAGGTGGGTCAGGCAGGTCATGGGCAGGTGGGTCAGGCTGGTCAGGCATGTCATGGGCAGGTGGGTCAGGTGTGTCAGGCATGTCATGGGCAGGTCTAAGCCACAAAGCTTTAAAATTTTAGTAAAAAAATAATTTTTAAATCACACAATCTTTTACAAAAAATATTACAATTAAGAATGAGCATTTAAGTGATTTAATAAGAAAAATATTGACTGAGGCAGGCAGAGAAAAGTTGATTTCTTATAATAAAACATCACAAATCCTACTAAAAAAGTGAAGCAACCATTGTCAGCCTAGAGAAGGAAGTAATGCTTTTGTCTTGAGTTACACTTTTTTTTGTAACCCACATACACATTCCAAATTTTTTTTTCTTCAAATTCTTTCACAGCATTTCTCTTACAGGCTTGTATTTAATCCCTGAGAAGTGTGTCACAACCTTTTCTCTTACAGGCTTGTATTTAATCCCTGAGAAGTGTGTCACAACCTTTTCTCTTACAGGCTTGTATTTAATCCCTGAGAAGTGTGTCACAACCTTTGCTCTTACAGGCTTGTATTTAATCCCTGAGAAGTGTGTCACAGCCTTTGTTCTTCCAGGCTTGTATTTAATCCCTGAGAAGTGTGTCACAGCCTTTGTTCTTCCAGGCTTGTATTTAATCCCTGAGAAGTGTGTCACAGCCTTTGTTCTTCCAGGCTTGTATTTAATCCCTGAGAAGTGTGTCACAGCCTTTGTTCTTACAGGCTTGTATTTAATCCCTGAGAAGTGTGTCACAACCTTTGTTCTTAAAGACTTGTATTTAATCCCTGAGAAGTGTGTCACAGCCTTTGCTCTTACAGGCTTGTATTTAATCCCTGAGAAGTGTGTCACAACCTTTGTTCTTAAAGACTTGTATTTAATCCCTGAGAAGTGTGTCACAGCCTTTGTTCTTAAAGACTTGTATTTAATCCATGTGAAGCATTTTCTGAAGCAGCATCATTTGCTCAGGTGTAACTGAACAATTGGATTAATAAATTCAACCTGGCGTTGTCCCTTTTCTTTTTGGTTTTTAACATAATGAAAAAAAAAAAATCCTGGCTAATGATGTTACCATTGTTTTGTAGCTCCTAGAGCTTACCATTGTTTCGTAACTCCTAGAGCTTACCATTGTTTCGTAACTCCTAGAGCTTACCATTGTTTCGTAACTCCTAGAGCTTACCATTTACCATTGTTTCGTAACTCCTAGAGCTTACCATTGTTTCGTAACTCCCAGAGCTTACCATTGTTTCGTAACTCCTAGAGCTTACCATTGTTTCGTAACTCCTAGAACTTACCATTGTTTCGCAACTCCTAGAGCTTACCATTGTTTCGTAACTCCTAGAGCTTACCATTGTTTCGTAAATCCTAGAGCTTACCATTGTTTCGTAACTCCCAGAGCTTACCATTGTTTCGTAACTCCTAGAGCTTACCATTGTTTCTTAACTCCTAGAGCTTACCATTGTTTCGTAACTCCTAGAGCTTACCATTGTTTCGTAACTCCCAGAGCTTACCATTGTTTCATAACTCCCAGAGCTTACCATTGTTTCGTAATTCCTAGAGCTTACCATTGTTTCGTAACTCCCAGAGCTTACCATTGTTTCGTAACTCCTAGAGCTTACCATTGTTTCGTAACTCCTAGAGCTTACCATTGTTTCGTAACTCCTAGAGCTTACCATTGTTTCGTAACTCCTAGAGCTTACCATTGTTTCGTAACTCCTAGAGCTTACCATTGTGACCAGATTTCCAAACCAGTTGTGAGAGAGTTCATGGGCAACAATAAGGGAGACAACTTGCTTTCTGAAAGCAGACGAGTTCTTAGGGTCCACCAGCAAGGCCGTCTCTCTATAAGTGATGAGACCCCAGTTCTCCATTGCTCCTGTGGAAATCTGAGTCATCATTCATTGTGAACTAACAACTCCTGTAGATGGCACTGTCCAAAGTACTCGTTTTACTTACTTCGGATTAAATTATTGAATGGATATTCTACTTTTTGAGTACGCAGACTTTAGCTGAGACTATATTAAAAAATGGCGTCTTCTTCAGCCTTGAACATTGAGACGGACAAGTGGTGAGTTGAAATATAGAAATCTTTCAAATAATTTTATTTTCTTAATAATAATAGTAATAGGCAGATACGTAGAGTTTAATTTGCATTAATATTATTTGTTGTATGGATGAAGGCATTAGCCGTAACATTTATATTTGTATTTTGTTTCCAAATCAATAAAAGTACATATACTGTTTTATTTACACAACTTATTTCAGTATGATTTATCACAGTCTCTTATGGTTAGCCCAATCCAAATTCCAAAATTATTTTGTTAATTTGAAAATGTGACATACAAAAATGTACAAAATGTTTTGATTAAATTTTTATTCTGCACCGACCTAAAATGGCTCAGCACTTGTACAGGTACTTTGTGTCATTAATTAATTTAATTTAACTATGCTGAAAGAAAAAGAAAAAGCAAACCAACAAATTACCTATGGCGAACTCGGAGAGGGTGATGAGGTCCAGCTTTGGAAGGCCATAGGGGATGCCAAAATACCATTCATAATAGGATAAAGCTTTGCTTGCCACCTCCAGGGCAAACTGGCCATGGTCCTGTTTGCCAAGAGGCGTGAAAACCCTGACAGGGATGCCATTCGACGTCACCCCTTCTAAGTGATCGTATTCTCCTACTATAAACGCTGTCAGGTAGGTGGACATGAGAGGAGTGGTCTGAAACGTCACAACTTTGAGGGCACTGTTTTCTTGGCTTGGCTCCTCTTTATCTACAGGCTGTTTGAGCAAGTTGAAGAATGAGTATGGTAGTGTACAGGCTGTGTGAGCAAGTTGAAGGAATGAGTATGGTAGTGTACAGGCTGTTTGAGCAAGTTGAAGGAATGAGTATGGTAGTGTACAGGCTGTGTGAGCAAGTTGAAGGAATGAGTATGGTAGTGTACAGGCTGTGTGAGCAAGTTGAAGGAATGAGTATGTTAGTGTACAGGCTGTTTGAGCAAGTTGAAGGAATGAGTATGGTAGTGTACAGGCTGTGTGAGCAAGTTAAAGGAATGAGTATGTTAGTGTACAGGCTGTTTGAGCAAGTTGAAGGAATGAGTATGGTAGTGTACAGGCTGTGTGAGCAAGTTGAAGGAATGAGTATGTTAGTGTACAGGCTGTTTGAGCAAGTTGAAGGAATGAGTATGTTAGTGTACAGGCTGTTTGAGCAAGTTGAAGGAATGAGTATGTTAGTGTACAGGCTGTTTGAGCAAACTTGTGTTTACAGCCAGGTGTGGCAGACCAATGTCAATCTGTTTTGACTGGGATCATACCAGCAACCTTGTGTCACACAGCCAGGTGTGGAAGACCAATGCCAATCTCAAAAGTCTGTTCATAGAATACCTTTCTGTCACATTAAAATTACTTGATATCACTGCAGTCAATGGCCAAAAAGGATATAGAAAAATATATTTAAAAAAATTGTATACTTTTTAAATTGTACTTGCCATGTTAGATAATGCTAATCTGTCTTTGGGCACCACCAATGTAAACACAAACTTGGCTTTGATGGCTGGCTCATCCCAGCAGGGGTAAGCTCTGCGGGCACTAGTTGCCTAGAAAAATCCAAATGAATCATGACCAAACTAGTTGACCCTGGATCCTGGATCATGTTAATTCACACAGTTCTGTTTAACATGGACAATGATTTCGTCTATAAACACCATATTTTCACTAACATGCCTTTTTTTTCGATGGGGATTAAAAATATCAAATCAACGTAATCAAAATAACAGACAGACATCCCCAGCTTTTGCTTAGTAAAATGTGTTTCATAAGATCTTGAAACAAGAGGACGATAAAACAAGTCTACATCAAGTGTATGAAATGTATGTCAAAAAGTGTCATTGTATATTGATTTTAACATCATAAATTAGTCAAAATTTCAATGTATTGTAAATTCATTTTAATTCTGCAGTAAATTATCTCTGAATATAAATTCCTCCATATCAACTTCAAAATGCATCATCTTGTTTTCTGGAAACAATAAATAAAAAAATAGAGTCTCTGTAATGTAAACAGTCATGCAAATATTTTCCATTATGGAATAATGTAATGGAAAGCATTCGCATGACCGTTTCCATTAAGGAAGAAATCATTTCTTATTAGACGATTTAATAATTGAACGCTGACTGAATTGATTTTATAGCATAAAAAAAATAATATTTACACATATTTTAATCCAATTTTTTTCATCATCTTACATTTCAAAGTTATTCATAAAGATGTATATTATTTTGGGGGAATAATTTTTTAACAGTAGGTGTGCATTTTTCTCTTATAGACATTAGTATTATTATCATTATTTAGGCATTTTTGTATAGTGCTTACCTTACAGCTCTAAGCGCTTTACAATTATTAAAAATATGTAAACTATTGAAACGGCTAAAGTAAAAGAAAAATGAAAAACCTGAGACACTAGAGTAGTAATGTGAAAAATGACTATAAAAACAGTAGCTAAAACATTAAAATGGCTATAAAAACAAGTACACTTTGGCAGGTTTTGGCATATTCTTTGAAAAAAAAAACATAAATACAGGATCAATCTGAGACAGAAAATGAGGCAGGGCAAGGAGGGTGCATCACAGGTCATAGGCGGACCTAAACAGATGGGTTTTAAGGGACTTTTTGAAAGTGGACGAGGTTTCACAATGACGGATATGGAAGGGGAGCTGGTTCCAGAAAGTGAGCGCATGGAAGTAGAAGGAGCGTTCACCGATGGTCTTAGTTTTGGTTCTTGGGATTGAGAGGGTTCTATTATCAGTTGAAGAGCGTAGTTGTCTTGTGGGGATGTAAGGAAGCAACAGTTCAGAGAGATAGACAGGAAAGTGAGGGTCAGTGAAAGAGTTGAAGCATATATTGGCAGACTTGTACTTGATGCGAGAGGATATTGGAAGCCAGTGGAGTTGCTGCATGTGTGGTTGAATGTGGTCGTGTTTCTTTGATTTAAAAATGAGTCTGCATGCGGAGTTCTGTGCCTTCTGAAGTTTGTCTATGTCACCTGTTCAAAGACAGTGGCTTTCAACCCACTAATTTGTGTTTTTCCACCAACCAGTTGCAAGGGTGTTTATTCTTAAGTTGGGGTGAGGACCAGTGTGAATTTGATTTTTTTTGGTTTTGGTACGGTTTGAGATCCGCTGTTATCCTATTGCTCCCCCATTTATAATTTTTTTTGCTGTTGTGGGGAAAAAGACAAAAGTATTGTTAGCAATTTTATTAATTTTCTTCCTTCATTATTGTTGTTCAAAGAATAAAATAGTTACCTCAAAATGTGTTCCAGCAGCATATCGAATTTCACCATTTTGATGAACATACTTATTTCTGTAAAAGCCATGCAACTGATCATTCAGGTGACCAGTGAACTCAATGTTCAGTAGGTACTGGCCTGGCTAGAAACATTAAAGTCAGATCAATAAACAGAGAAAAAATGTGTGATCTGCAATAAAGCCAAAAACACTTAAATAAGGTTAAGGTATGCAGCATAATAATCATAGCCCAAAAGGCCTGAGAATAAGAGTTTATGAGTGAAAGCTCATATACTGGCTGATTTTGTTCATTTGCTTGATTGCCTTTCAGGACATAATGATTCTGCTTCGCTGTGAAGCTCGAGGGGGGGGGGTCAGATTATTTGGGTCAGGGTTAAACCACCTGGGCCCAAGTAAAAAAGAAATGGGGCCCTTGGATAATCTACCCCGTGCCACCCTCATTTTCATTTTCAGCCAGCCATTTCATAGGAGAGATCAAAGAATAAAATTTCTGCAGACAGCCTTAAAAATAAACATTATTAAGTTCAAAAATGGAAAAATAAAATGGTATATAATAATTTTTTCGATACATATTATTTTCTTGTAATTTAAGTTTACCTATGTAGATGTCTTGGGCTATTTGGTTCTGTTTTGTTTAAAGTTCAATCGTTCTTTTTGTTTCCCACATTGATCCAGCAGGAGATTTTTTATTTATCAATTTTCTTTATGCTGTATTTGAATTTTTCTAACTCCTTCATGTTTTTAAATGTGACCACAATCTGAGTTCATGTAGTCATGTAATTTGAACGACAAAACATACACATTGATTTTCAACAACAAAATACAAAAAAAAGATTGTAAGGTCTCACCAAAATGTAATAAGGAAATATAAACTCCACTACTTCATTGACATCATTAACCACAACTTCTGGAATCTTTTCTTTTCCATTATCTGATAAATAGAAAATAGCATCAATGCACGTTTTTTTGTAAATGAAAATATGCAATAATAATAAAGCAACTATTTCAATGTAGGGGGGAGGAAAGGTGATAAAACAAAAAGAACAAACTTGTTTACAAAAGATTTAGTACAATTAATGCTCAGAAATAAAGATCTCTTTCATAATTACTTTAAAGCAAGAATATATAAACACAAAAATGTTAAATTACCTAACACAAAAATGTTAAATTACCTAACACAAAAATGTTAAATTACCTATTAACCAAACTTTTTTCACTGCTATGTCGAAAGCATTGATGACAATCTTATTTGTAGAGGATATAACCTGCAAAATGACGAACTCAAAAGTAAAAATTATAGTATTGTAAAATTATTCAATCAAATAGTAATTTTTAAAACAATTTTAAATCATAATAATTTAAAGTCTTATTTTGTAATCTGATGTGGTTATGAAGATTTCCTAGTCTTCAGAAGTACCTTTTCGTCCTGCTATCATTTCTTGTTGTCAATCTATACCACAGTCTTATTACCGTAAATACTGTATACTAATTACATTTGTTGGCTTCCATTATTAAGTTTGAACTGCGTTGAAACTTTAGTTAATTGACTTACAAAATATTTTTTGATAATGTCGGGTTCAACAAGCTACTTAACTATGCCTTATTTCAAAAATGATTTTTAATTTACCCTAAAATGATGGGCAGCGGGAACAGTTTTTTTTATAAAGCATATAATTATGAAAATAATTACCAGAAACTTAAAAATAAAATCAAATTTGTTCTTTTTTCAAATTAAGAAGTTTGACATAGATTATGATAGATTAATAAAATTAATTAGAAATGAACCTGAACATGTGTTATATATTTTGCAAATGTATTTGTGTTGTCACAATTAGTATATACCTGCAGCGTGACTTCTTCCCATCCTGTAAAACTGAATTCTTGTAAGTCAGGCTGAAGTTTCACTTTATAGAGAGTGGGTTTAACATCTTGAGGCAGTCTTTGAAATGTTTTCTTTGGAGATGACATTCTTTTATTTAAAGAGCAGCTAAAAAAAAATGTTATTAATACATTTTCAAATAAAGCTGAAATTCTAATGTAAATACATAGAAAGTCAATGTATATCTTAATTACCTCCCTAAATTTCAATTTTTTAGAAAACATAAAATCAATTAGTTTTTTATCTATAGATACATTTGAAGAAAAGGATCCCCCTACCCCTAGTGCCAAAAAAATAAACATGAACCCCGTCACCCATGCCACGCCTTGCCCTTAATCATATCGCCTAGAATCTCCCCCTCCAGTATAAACCCTCTGCTATTTTACTCTCTTCAAAGTCTTCCGCCCCTGTAACAACTACATGCACCGACCATTTCACCTAGAAATGCCAATTGAACCACAACCAAAGATACCACACTTGAACCCTGCTGATGACCCAACCAAACTCAAAGCCTGCGGATGAATGAACCCCAACCCTGCTAATGACCAACACTGAACTCAACTCAAACTTCAATGTGACAAGTACGAACCAACTCAAATGAACCTATCACAAACATTTAAGAACCGACATGGTCTTACATCAGCACTTGTGCCAGAAACGCTTACACTTTAATTAAAACTAGCAAACCCAATTGCAAAACGATTTTTGTAAACGAAAATTATATTTTTTCATCATCTCCTACCCAGAGGCATCTATCCCCCCCACCCTCCCCCCCCCCCAAACAGGTGGTGGAATACAAGCATCCCCCCCGTACTTATTAAATACTGTGTTTGGAACATGTCAGTCATGGAATTGGAGCTTAATTCTGGAGTTTATAAACGATTTTTGTAAACGAAAATTATATTTTTTCATCACCCCCCACCCAGAGGCATCTATCCCCCCCCCCCTCCCCCCCCCCCAAACAGGTGGTGGAATACAAGCATCCCCCCCGTACTTATTAAATACTGTGTTTGGAACATGTCAGTCATGGAATTGGAGCTTAATTCTGGAGTTTAGTATGAATATTAGTAACACAAGTACAAAAATTTCAGTTAAAAAATTCTTAGATTATTGATGACTGTTCAATAATAATATTGAAAACAAATTATTGCAATTTTGCTAAAAGCTCAATAATTCTATATCTTTTTCAGCAAATAAATCCAGTGATTATTGTAAAAAATGATTTGAGCAGGCCTATAATTTGTATTTTAGTTTCAAGTCTTAAATTTCAGAGTTCGGTTGGATGGCTGTGCAGTCAAAACATGTGTCACTCTTTTCTAGAGGATTGGATTCAATTCCTAACTCAAGCTTAACAATTAAATTATTAAATTATACTTTTTTTCTCTTGACGAAAATCACAAACAACATAAACACACACACACACCCATATTGAGTTGTTTTTTTAAACTTTGGAATATTTATTTTTTAATTTAAATTAAAAAACAGGGAAGGGGGTAGCGTTACGCCCCACCTAACTTAGTTTTGGAAGCAGCTGCTTCCTATCACCCCTTTTGTTGATGCCCCCTCCCCTACCCACAATTCCACTGCCAAAATCCTTGGAACTACAGTGGTTGCCGAATAGAACCCAAGCCCAAACTTTAGTTGTTACTGAACCAAATCCAAACTTATTTTAAGTTTCAAAATAGAAAATATGAACATACAAACTTGCATTAAGTAAGTAAACACAAAGATAAAAATCTAAATCTCTTGAATACGGAGCAAGAGACTGAAGTAGACATAGGCCTGGAAGAACCTCCATTACCTATATAATAATAATAAAGTTCATTTCAAAAACATGCCAACTAATCGCCAGCCTTATCTGTACCGCTAACCAAAAATTAACTTTAAGTTGTTTAGGAACCGAAATTTCTAACAGAAAAAGCTTTCAAAAGGGGTTTGATTCCCATCGCCGGGTGCCAACTCTCAATCTTAAATTATTAATTATATACACTACTTTATAATTATATTCCACCCAAAGCCCAAAAGGCGAAGGCCTTCTTAGTCTTTTCTATTCCCCCACCTTCAGTCCTTCTTCATGTCTTAATTTAAGAGCCCAACCCCCCACTACTAATCTCCTAATCAATAATGACAATGCGCTAACACTCCTTTTGACTTTGTAGCAACCAAGTTTGTTATGACTATGAGTATGAGACTTGATAGAGACTATTGCCTTTTTATTATGATTATAATTGTAATTATAAAGGGCCATCCATAAATGACATTACAGACATTTTTAGCATTATTCTTTTCTACAACAATTAAAATCATTTTATTTTTAAACTGCTATCACTGAGAGAATCAGACAAGTATGCGAGGTCTGAGAATTGGGCTCTGTTCAAGTTACAGGATGCCAGGAAGGAGGAGAATCGGGGTGTAGTTACAATGACAGTCATGAAAATTTATGGCTAAACGTGGACACGGGAGTCATAGAATTAGGAATACTGCGTAGGGGAAGGATTCTGAACCTTTTTGCAGTGCTGCAGGCCCACTCCGTTTTAAACATTCCCCTTACCCCCAAAATGTATAAATTATATGGTAATAAAATTAAGCATGCTTAAATAATTTAGTTATCGTGGTTTTAATTCTTTCATTAACTTTTAAAAAAATAAAAATTACCAATGCAAGTAATGGGGCAACAAATTCACCAGAAAAACATTTACTGCTGCTAATCAAAATGCATAAAACTTATTTTTGTTAAAAAAGGCAGCAACAACTAGCAATCGGAGCAAATGCAGTTTTCTGGACTTCCACACCTCAGCTCTGGAGAGGTACTTTTATCCCTGGTTTAGAACCACTGTTCTCTGGGCCGGCGCTAGACATTTTAAGGTTGGGTGAAAATAGGCAATTGTCGCCCTCTGGAAAATTATGGGTAGAGTTCAGAACTTATTTTTTTAAATTCTAACATATTTTGCCGCTGCCCGCCTGTGTAATGATCACGCATCGTACCCGCCTTGAGCTGGTCCTAACTGTTCTAGTGAAATGTTTCTGACACAGTTGCTGTAATTTGATATCCATGGGAGGTGAATTTCTTAAGGGTTTGTAATGGACAATAGTGGACACAGGTAATTATATAGGGGGGGGGGGGGGGCGGAGATTGGTGATTTTATTTTGGGGGGGGGGGGTAATTTTTTTGGTCAAAAATCATCAAAATTTATGTGGTGTCATTTATGGATGGCCCTTAAGTTAGAGTGACCAAGTGTCCCGTAAAAACGAGATAGTCTCTTTTTTTCACAATCGTACTCGGTGTCCCAAAAAAAGTCTCTTGGGACGCTTAAATATCCCATTTCTAAAACCAAACACATTTTCAAAGCACTTAAACTTCCTAATTTATAATTTAACTTCAAGTAACATTTTGGCTACCTGCGTAGCCAGTGCCAGTAGTAATGTGGGCTCGCATGATGGCTGCACTGTTCTCCCTCTACCACTCTGCCGACACTGCATAAAAGACAGTGTCCCTACCATATTCACTGCAAAATTATTGTTTTCGTTTATGATATGCCTCAGAGTTTAAATTAAATTACAAAAGTGAAGGTAAATTTTAAAAAAGGCAAATTTTGAGAGATAGCACCCTGACGTCATTTGCGTGTTTTGTTAAGTTGCTTATTTTTTTTGTTAAAAGAGTTACATTTTCATTAATATAACGATGGCAAATTTTTATTGGTTAATTAATTTTAATTAAAATTTCATTGGTTAGCTAATTTTAATATTTCTATGTGTTCCGCCATCTTTGAAAATGACAGCATGGTGCTTCATTCATTTTCTGGATATTATTTTCGGAGGAACCTAAAATAAAGTGTGTAAAAGTGTATTCCATGAAACTGTAAGTTGGATTTTCATTATTTCTTGCCATTTTATTTGTTTTTGTTCATTTTCCTAGTTTTCAGGGTCAAAACCCTGGTTCCAATAGGGTCAAAACCCTGGTTCCAAGGGTTAAAACCCTGGTTCCGATAGGGTCAAAACAAAGGTTAGGGATAAGTTTAGGGTTCAGGTTAGGTTTAGGGATACATTTAGGACAATTTTTTCATTAATTTTTAACGTTTTATTCCAAATTTTAGCAAATGTGAGTTATTTTATTTTTTCATGGCCGCCATCTTGGTTGCCACGACCTGTGAACATGTTAAAGTTCATGGTTCGCAGCAACCAAGATGGAGGCCATGGTAAAAAACACAGCTCTCCAAATTTACCTTAAAAGATTTCTAGGTCTGAAAATAGTTATAATGAGCATATTTCAATATTTCTGGCGGAGGCCCCCGGACTCCTCTATAGCTGGAGGCTATCCCCCAAACCCTCCTTGGGTGTGTCCCATTTTTTCCACTTCATGATTTGGTCGCCCTACCCTAAGTATAAGTGAAATAGTCACATTTCATAAGTGACATAAGTACATAAGTCATAAAAAGTTAAAGTACTTAAAGTAAGTAATCTCAATGATCAATCTGATCTAATCTTAACAAAACTTACCAAGGGTAAGGGTCCATTAATTACGTCAACAAAATAGGGGGTTTGGAAATGTTTGACAGTTGTTGACAAGGGGGGGGGGGGTTTAGATTAGTTGACGTCAACAATCTTGCTTTCTCTATTAAATTTTTAATCTTAAAAATTGACTGGTTATTAAATTATTTTTAAAAATTTATAAATGTAAATGAGCGTAAATAGTCATATAATTTTTAGGCTTTTAAAAATTTTTGATTTATTTAATGTGTGTATGTGCACTGCAGATGGCTGGTCAGAATGTTAGCACACTTTGTTAAAATTCGGCCTCTCTTCACCTGTAGATTCTGTTGCAGGTATGGTAATTTTAAGTGCTGAATGGTTAGATGAGGATGATGTTGACTTGTCTGGTATATCAGTGCTGCAAGATTAAAATGATCAATCTGCCAGTATAGACTATGCCCATCAGGGGCGTCTTTTCATTGGGGGGGGGCAAAACAAAAACTTGGTCGGCTTGTTAAGTTGTTTATTACTGGAGGTGACCCACAGTAATGATAATAATAATAATAAAGTTTATTTGAAAAAACACACTTCATCCCCAAAGGCTCGAACCGCGGTACAAAGTCAACCATGTTTAAAAATCTATAATTTAAAACAAACGCAACACTACGAAAAATAATTACAAGCATACCAAGTCAAAGTCTTTCTAGCCATTTCAACAATAAGCAACACAGCCAATATGCATTAACTGGAAAATGTGGTAGACAACAACATCCCAGAAGGTGTTTGCGAAAAAGATGTGTCTTTAAATCGGTTTTAAAGGACTCCAGTGTCTGATTGTTTCGCAGAGCAACAGGTAGGGCGTTCCTAATTGTTGGGCCAACAAATGCGAAAGTACACTTTCCGTAAGTCTCAAGGCCAACACGTGGAGTAGAGAGTTTGCCACTATCGGATGAGCGGAGTTGTCTAGTTGGTACATAAGGCGTCAGCAGCTCTTTGAGATAGGACGGCGCCAGGTCATGTAAGCAGCGGTAGCACAAAGTTGCAATTTCGTAATCTATGCAAGCGCAGACCGGCAGCCAACGCAGCTCTCTCAGAAGTGTTTTAGCATGGTCGAAATTGCATTTGCGAAGAACAATGCGAGCCGCAAAGCAATACATAGCAATTTAAATAAAACCTGCAAATGCCTCCTGCCCTACCCAAATTATGTCCCTGATGCCCATTGTTACGATAAAGCAAACCTAGCTACTCCTTGGGAAGATTATAGAAGCTAGAAGCTATGCTATAATTGTTAGCTTTAATGACAATAATCATATTTATACCACAAACAATGATATTTAGTCGTTAACAACTTTTCAATTAATTCTGCAATATAAAATTTAAGTGTAAAACTTTTTAACTTGTTGATTAACAAGCTAAAGATCTATTTATTTGTAATGAAATGGTTTTCCTACAATTTTATTGTCATTATTTAATAAAATAGATCAGCCATCTGCTAATCAGCAGGAGGTAAATTGTATTTATAAATTTATTTATGTACTTTGGTGTTTTTTTTTTTGTTTTTTTTTTTTTTTATTTACATAATTAAAAAGGGAGGGTCATTGAAAGTTTGGCAGTTGTTGACAAGGGGTTGGGGGGGGGGGGTGTCATAAATTGCTTAAAAAGTGTTGACGTAACTAATGGACGACCCCTAAAGTAAAATAATTTTATACTATACATAATAAATAAGTATTCTTCGGCTAATAGTGAAAATAAGTTAATAACACAACAACACTGTTTTGTTCCATCTTAGATTAATCGGGGATTCTTTACTGTACTCAGTTTGAAGTATCCTATTTTGTTTGAAGACTATGCCGGTCTTGTAAAAATTTTCCTCACTGCTTTAAAGTCTACAGCTGATCGACGCTAAGGTTCAAAAGGTCGTATCCGGTGAAAACAGTGTAATGTAACTATTGGAAGGGAATGAATATACATTTTTTAATGGTGATGTTACGTGACCGCGTAAAATGTACAAACTTATAATTATACGCCTATCCATTGAGCAATATTATCAGATTATAAGGTCTCTTTTATGAAACAAGGTGTCTGAATTTTTTCAATAAAATTTCTTTTAAGTACATAGCAGTGCAGAGATGCCTAGACAACCAAGTAAATCACTTGGGCTTGGGACAATGGAGGAATTTTTGGGGTACCCGGTACACGTTTGATTTAATTATTTTGAAATGTGTGGGGGGCCAAACATTTAGATTTTCTCGAGGCTCAAAAATCGTCTTCAAGACCCTTTATAATCATGATTATATTATTTGTACTTTACTCCACTGACTCATAGTCTTTCACGTTAAATAGTATATATACATACATACATATATATGTATGTATATATATATATATATATATATATATATATATATATATAGGCCCTATATATATATATATATATATATATATATATATATATATATATATA